TCTTCTTTTACTGGAAGTAAAAGAATCTGAGTTCGACTTTCATGGCATGTAAGTGAAGTGAGATGAGAAATGAAAGAAAATTACCTCTCATTATGTAATCAAGATAAAAAAAAAATCTAATCTATTTGATTAAAATTAACAACATGATAGTTGTTTTCCAAACCCTAAAACATTTTTTTATAACATAGGGGAATATGAAAATGGAAGAAGATATAAAGAAAGAGCAAAGAAAAAAAATTAAGAGTTTTATTCATTTTAGATGATCAAGCACCTTTAATAATCATAGAAGATTGTTTAACAGTCTTCCTAAAAGAGAAGAGTGTACCAACGAGGGGTTGGATCAAGTGGTAAACGGCTTGTTCCAGTTTAAGTAAGGTCTCGAGTTCAAGACTTTGTGTACGCAACAGCCCCCGCTGGGAGACTCATCCACCATTTTCAGGGGCGCGACGCGGGTCGAGTCTGGATTAATCGGAGCAAAACCCCGAATACCGGGTGAAAAAAAAAAAAAAAAAAAAAAAAAGAAGAGAAGAGTGTTCAAAATCTAGAAATTCAGAATCAAGGTCTCACGTCACATGTCACATAGCCACTGTCATCATGGAATGGAGATGGGAGAAGATAGGGGAGTCGGTAAGTGGACCCAATGTGTCTAGTGCTGGATCTTATAGCTCACAAGTTATAACTCCACCACCAGCAATGTTGCTTGATATTCATAATTAGATGCAATAATACACATTGGTTTTGTTTCTTGTAATCCACTCAAGCCGCTTTATTATCAGAGTAGAAATACCCGTTAAGGGAGAATTTCTTTCATAAAATAGGGATATTATATGTTGGTGATATCACTGTTCACAAAGGTAGTGACACAAAAGTACATTTAGCATGTAGTTAAAAAGATTAATTTATTATAATATATTGGTTATTTAATTGCAAGTGAAGACTACATATACTGACATGTTTGTGTTGTTATATTAATAGATTAGGAAACCATTAATGTGGTACACAAGTTGTATAAAAGATTTTATCCTATCAAGGGAGTAAGTTGAAATTTTGAGAAGTCGTGGATATGATGGGCTTCTTCAATAACAAATTTACCTTTAAGGGCTAAAATAATAACTTTCTCAGAGTTTGTAGTGAAATTATGCATTTTACTTAGTTTTTTAGTACTTGAAAGTTCAGATATTAGCTACTTAGCCTTTCTATTATAGGTTTTGGGTTCAAATTAATTTTGAGACATTTTTTAATAGGTTTGACATTTTTTTATAATGATAATAACTACATCCAATAAAGTTATTCCAGTAGGTTGTCTGCAGGTGGTTCCATATAAGCAGATATTTTTGCAGTTAGGGCGTGAGGTAGGACAATTAAGTGCAACGTTGGCCACCTAGAAGAACCTCAATTGAATCCAATGCACTCAGATCAAGTGTACGTCGAAGATGGGCCACTCTCTGCCCTCTAATTTTGTTCTTTTTGACGTTTGTCCCCAAGTACCTTTTTATGTAACTTGTGCTGGCATGATGGGGGTTGAATATCCCAGAGACCAGTACGTTGAGTTATTATTGCTGCTTCTATTT